ATATGCAATACGGTTCTTAAATCAGATTTGTCAAAGATTAAATCTCTTCTTCTGATCCTTAAGATCTAATAATTGAAGATAAAATCTTTGTATGAGACTGGTTAAGTCCGTAGATAAGTTATTTTTCCCATTTCAGCCGTCTATAGAGTTGTTTGTCAGGAAGGTTCTTGGCCATTTCTCCTTTCTTCCACAAATTGTGCCACAAACCGTCCAGCTTTTGCCTTGTTCATGTAGAGAAGTATTCAATCTCATAAATGAAATGTTATGTGGGAATATTCAATGCGAACTCTAATCAACTCTAATCCAAACTTGTGCTATGTTGAACTGTAGCTTTTCATTTCTTTCCGTTTTGCATGTTTGGCCATGCTCCACCAATTAACCAGCCGTTCAGCGTTTCTTTTCGTCCGCAACCTCTTTCCTCTTCCCTTTCCATTTAAAAGTGTTTGCTCCAAAACACACCTTATGGGAGTCCAGCAAGAAGTTGTATGTTTCGAAGCAAGCAATAGGTCTTGAAGAAGAGATCGAATCAACTTTTGTTGCTATGTATGAAGTTTAATCTCTCACAATTTAATGACTACGTCTGATGATGTCTCATGCGGATTATTAATTCTATTATGCATATTCCAACAATCAACTAATGCGATCCAAATTAAGTAAAGTTTTTATTCAATCTCTACATGAGTACATACATCTGCCTTAAGCTAAATCTCATCTCTTTCTTTGTAACCACTCAGTCAGTCTTGCGGGGCACTATTTGGTTATCTTTCCGTTGAGCGAACGAGAATGCGACCATCTGAGTTGCCACAGTGATCTTTGCCTCCACATCATAGACAAGCTGTTTAGGGAAATACATATTTAGTAAAAATGGGAGACTTTTTTGTTGGACGGAGAGTTTCATCCGTTTTCACGGTCGTCTAGCAGAGTAGGCCGATAAAGAAGATGCTAAAGCCGAGAGATGGACGACTTTTGGCAGATCTATTAAGTTGACCTGGCCTTTATGAGTGCCTACAATTAGGAGCCTACAATTCTGGAAAGCATCGACGAGACCAAATTGTGAAGCATAGTGAAGGTCAAGCGGCGACAGGAAAACGTTTCTACAGAATTGCTGTAATGAAAGGCCACCAAGAGGGCATGAGCAAATGAAAGTAGATGAAAAACGTCAACAGTTCAGAGTTGAAGACATCATCTAAAAAAGCAAAACATTATCATGTCGTGACATGCATTGCTGCACTGAAGCAGTTTCTCGGCAGCGACCATCTGAACGTTCATGTTGCGTGATTGCGATTTGCCGCGCGTCTTGATCAGCCGCTGCAACACCTTCGGCGAACTGATCTTCAAGTAGATCGTGATCGGTGCCAGCGAGGTCTTCGAGAGCTGGCTCGGATGGTTGATCGTGTCACAGTCGAGCACCACCAGTTGCTGCGTTCGGGCCAAGTCGAAGATGCGTTCGATCTCCTGTTGCACCTCTGCGTTCGCGTTCGCGTTCGCGTGTGCATGCATGTGTGTGTAAGAGAGAGAGAGAGATAGAGAGTATGTTATTGTGTGCGAAGGAGTACATGAAAGCACTATAAAGTGTGTGTATGTATGTATGTATGTATGTATGTATGTATGTATGTATATATATATATATATGTGTGTGTATGTGTGTGTGTGTGTGTTTGGTATACAGAACCCTACTTTCCCAACAGCTGTTTTCATCCCTGCTTGAGTGGACTGCAGTTTCGACCTTGCATTGGTCTTATCAACACCCCCAGCGGGAGTCGAACTGTGACAGTGCAGAATGGGACCACATTGCCACGAGTGCCCTTGAGTCACATAGCAGATGTGAATTTCAAGGAAGGTCTGTTTTTTGGCCATATCATATTCTTTGGAGGGGATTGTAGATGAAGCAGACGTAATTTTTGTTACAACAATCGACTGAACTGTCACAGTTCGACTCCCGCTGGGGGTGTTGTTAAGACCAATGCGGGGTCGAAACTGCAGTTTACTGCAGCCGGGAGGAGGACGACTTTTAGGAAGCAAGCTTTTGTGAAATTGGATGGAAATGTCAGCTCTAATCACATAATTGTGGGCAAATTCAACTGCCAGTCGTTCATCACCTTAAACGAAATGGACTGAATACATCTCATGTCCTTTCTCGTTAAGTAATCATAGGTTTCAGATTCAATTTAGGAAATTTATTAATTTGTTTATTAATAAAATTGTTATGAATAATGCTTGAAGAGCTTTGGTGTTTTGCTCGGTTGGCGGCTCTTTGCTTCTTGATGAATGTTTTAAATTTTGGAAAAAGCTTATTCGTGCACAAATTTGGGAAATAAAGTGTTAAACAGAATTACTTTTTACCAAATCTATATTCTAATTGTTTGGCTGGCCTGCTTATTTGTTTAAGAGTCTATTTTGCAGATAGCGTGGATTATCATTGAAATATTATTTTTGTTTTTGTAGAAAAAGTGGGATTCGAACAATCCCTCACTAGTTTGCTGTTGGAGTAACCTTCATTTCGTCTGAAGAGGCGGTTGGAAGCGATTCGTCAGTTGGTTCCACCGGAGGCTGTGGTTGTAGATTTGTGCAAACAGCTCCTCGGCGCACCGCTCTGCGACCGCGATGAATCGTTGCTGAGCTTTCGCGCGTCATGTGATGGGCATCCTGAGTGCAGGACACCACACTTGACAACAATCCACCCAAAACACGAAGGCAAGAAAGGTGGGCCGGCTTCAAACCTACCTCCTTCTGACACTCCAACTTGGTCCACTTGTGCATCTCATGTTTTGTCTGCATGTCATATGCTTTTCCTCCATATTTGCTCATCGGTGAAGTTGGGTGGCTGTGGATGAAG